AATACATACATGTAAAGTATATTGTAGGTGTATAATATTGTAGGTGTGTAATAGGTGTTCGTAAGATCATATTATCCATAAACATAGCAGAGACTTCAGTTACCATAGACGATGTAGTTTATGTTATTAATAATGGCCGGATGAAATTAAAAGTATTCGATGCAGAAAATAACATTGGAACTCTTAATGAAGAATGGATGAGCTTAGCTAATTGTATACAACGTCGGGGTAGAGCAGGTCGTGTAAGACCAGGTATTTGTTATCATTTGTACACAAGAGGACGTGAAAGATCATTTAATGATTATGTACTACCTGAGATGATGATTTATAAAATGTTCAACTTTTATATCTAAGGATTGAAAATTTAAAACAAGATTTCATGTAAGTAGTTAATTCTGTTACCAAAAAGTCCAAAAAATACACAAGCACAGCTTATTTCTATAGTCATTTTAAGTTCAAATTTGGACGAAATTACATATTGAAAAACCTAGAATAACTATTTTAGTTATTTTGTTGTGATTGTATAATATTATTCGTGTGTACTTGAAACTTCTAAAGTGTACTATTTATATCTATGAAAGTATCATGGTTTTTTGTTGATGTATAACACACTATAAGTGCCTAATGGAAATAGTGATTAATTTGGTATTTATTATAGGTACCTATTATAGGTCAATATTTTTTAAAATACCATAGATATGTATGCAATATGTCTTACACTTAGACTGACATATTGTCTCCACTCAGAATCGTTTTTCTTATACAATAATATTATATTATTGAATTCAAATTTAATACCATCCATTATACAGTGACTCATTTGTAACCTACTGTACAGCAGAACACCTTTTTGGCTTGTATTAATTTTTAAATAGTTAAATTATGCTTAAAAATTGTTTTGTTTTTGTATTCCTAGTTTACTTCAAAACTCTAGAGATTCACAAAATGATATTGACATTGAAAATATAAATTAATTAAAAGATTAGATGGGCTCTAAAAGTGAATCTCCTAAGATAGTACATGCTCAAAATTCTTATGATTTAATTGAAGATCATTCAACAAATATTTTAAAGTAACGTTAAACTATAATAATTTATTTTAATCAATTATTGTTTAAATTTTAATCATCTGTAACAAAAATTGGTATATTTTGTTATTATTTCAGCAGCTGTATAAATTTCAATATTTCTATTACAAAAAATAATTTTTTTACTTGTATTAATTTTTATATAATTACTAGTCATAGTAAAGCAGATTACAAACAATATGTCATAGACCATATATCTAGTTTCCTTACTGTTAAATCACATTATTGCCGACATGATACAAAAAAGCAATATTTAGATTCTGAGTTGAACACATCAAAAATGTACAATCTATATACAAATTGTATATAATTGTAGATGAGAACCCTAGAACGCCGGTAACAGCTCACCTGAATAGATCATTATTTATTTGTAATTTCAACTATTGATTTTTCGGTCCTAAAAATGATATATGTGCTACATGTGAGGAATTTAAAGTATCAAGTAATAAATATTGTCAGTATGAAGAACATATACTTAAAAAAGATACTATGAAGACAAAAATAGATGTGATCAAGAAAATGTAGTTGTTTGTTTTGACTTACAAATTGTAATCACACTTCCAAAAACAAATGTCGGCCCAGGGTTTTATAAAAAAAAATTAAATGTTTATAACCTTCCAGTTTATTTGTCTACTTCCAATACTATATATTGTGCTATTTGGAATGAAACAATTGTTGGTAGATCGGGTAATGACCTTGCAAGTGCGTTTATTAACATGTTACAACATATTGTTGATAATAATTTGGATATACTAAACATTGTTACGTGGTCTGATAGCTGTGTGCCACAAAACCTATATAAGATAATGTCAACGGCTATTGTTGGGCTTATGTCGAAAAATCCCAGAAAAAAATCAGTTACCATGAAGTATTCAGTTCCAGGCCACTTGTGCATCGAAGAAGTGGATAATGCACATTCACAGATTGAGAAACATATAAACCATAATCATATACTTAAATATACTAGATATGTTAGCAATACAAATGTATGTTGATGATGCTTTGGCCGATGCTTTATACACAATTTTAGCCGTTCACACAAATGCATTTTTTTAAGTTCAAAACATTTATTAGTAACTGAGTGAATAATTAAAATTATGAATAAGTACTTAATGTTAAAGGATTATTATTTTTGGTTTCATTTTTTAAAATTAATAATATTGACTGAAAATGTTTTCAATTTCATTATTTAAAATTAATAATATTGACAGAAAATGTTTTCAAAAAAATGAATTTATAACTAATACAACCAAACAATAACTTACCTCGTATTAATGGGATATTTTCATAAAAACCTAGCCAAAATATAAAGATTAACCTAAAATTGAGTTTTTCTTTTTTCTCTGTGAAGACTGATATTTTACATTTAGATTACAATTTTAAACTCATTAATAAAGTATTACAATTTACAATAGATAAAAATACATTTAATAAATGTTCTGAGCATTTTGTTAACTACCTAAACGTTTCTTCAAACGGTAAAAAAAGATTGTCTGGATCTATCTTGGAAGTCTACTAAATATAATGGTGGAGTTTGTACTTTTTATTTTGTTTCAATCCATGTAGTTATAGTTAAAATTGTAAATTGATTTGATATTTTACATATTTTTTTATTATTTCTATATAAATTATAATACAATGCATATTAGGCATACCTTCAGGCTCCAGCTCCAGGTAACGAGTCCATTTTTTTAAATGTAAATTCGGCTATAGAAAACATAATAATATGAGCTTAGCAAAACTAGGAAAACTTCTTGTACACAGTAATACCGACGACAAACACGATGCATCTGTAATGCCATACATTAAGTCAGGGTTTGCCAACCTTTTTATACATAGTAAGCAACATTAAAAATTTCAAGTGTCTGATAGCATTTGGGAAAATTAAAGATTGAAGATTTTGCTGAAATTATAAGGTTGAAAATTAACTCGATGACATTATAACAACTATTGTAACCACATTTTAGTGTCCAACCTCGGCACAAATTAATATATGTGATAACTGATAAATAAGGACACACGGTGAAAGGATTACGGAATACAATATAATATTGACGACGGACAACGCATGATACTTTACACGACGAATAAATAAAAAGCCTCCTGAAGTTATTGTCCACTATAACAAAACATTTTATTTATATATATTCAGTTTATTTATTTTTTGTCAAAAGTCCAATGGATATACACAATATATATATATATAAAAATCAACTAAATCATTGGCTCAGCACGTTAACACTACGGGTTTTCTTTTTTACACATTTTCATTAAAATATAATATTATTATTTTCGTAGGCATACCAACACAGTAACACACACGCGCATATATATATATATAAACACATAATTATATATATGTTTACAGGTATAATCGACGTACCTACATAGTTCATCGTGATATACTATGACGACGACCGCCGTTGGTCACGGAGTTGCACAATCATAATAAATCATAATAATAATAATAATAATAATAATAATCGAATAAATAAATAATAATAATAATAATAGGTAGTAATATAAAATGAAAACTAGTGAGTCGTCAACAATATACAGTAATAATAATAATAATAATAATAATATTAAATATACATAATCGGTACAATTATTTACAAATTAAATAATAAACACAATATACAACGCGATAATATTATATTATTATTTTAAATACACACTCATAATATATAATATATCATAATATAATAGTCTTTGTTTCGCATGTATAATAGTGGCCGCACGTGTACATAATATAAATATAATATCTAGACGTTTAAGTATTACATATATTACATAATATATATATATTAAATAGATTTAGTTATACACATTTTTGTTTTATACATTATATATATATATATAAAATCAGTTAATTTACACAATATTGTATACTATATATTATACATTTATGTAGATGTATATATAGGTTTATGTGTTAGTGCGCTGCGAAAACGGGTATTACGAATTACGATAGCGATAGGAAAGAAAAAAATAAACCGATGACGGAGGGAGAGGTAATATAACTCTAGGTTATACAATAATTAATATTATAATAGGTAGTATCATTATTATATATACAAACGGATATGAAGATTTATTTTATTTGCCAGAAATGATAATAAAACGGTCATCGTATTATGATAATAATAATAATAATAATAATAATAATAACAATAATTGTTTATAATGGAGTTTAGCATAACTTTTTTTTCTTTTCATTCGTCAATTTATATTTTATCACAGATAATCTATCACTAAAATATAGTCTTTTATCCGGGACTCAAATTTTCTTCGAAATAATAATAATAATAATAGTAATAATAGGTATTTAGGTGTACCTAGTATGTAAAATATTGTTAAAAAAAAAATATATGAATATATAAGTGAAAACCTAACGCGTGTCTTGACAAAGTATGTACCTAATACACGAGTCAACAACAGTTTTTGCAGTTTTCTTTACTGTATAAGTATATTAATATGATCTATATAGGTACGACGTCTATTCTGTCTAAAACGAACCAAGAGAAGAAAATAATATATAACGATAAAACGCGCGTTTCAATAATATATACACATATTGTACATAAATATAATATATAATATTAATAAACTTTTGATTGTCGATGATAATAATGTATATTATTATTTATCAATATTTTTTTATGTTTTTTTTTTATATTTATCTGAAAAATATAATGACCAAACAAAAACACGAATAAATGTACACGTAAAATTTCGAAGAAAAAAACTTTCACAATAACATAAAATAATAATTAAAATAAAAAACTAAATCGCGCGGTGTGGAGATTTATAAAAAAATATGCGTCGTAGGAACTGCAAATGGTGGCGGTGGCGGCGGCGTCGGCGTCGGCGGCCGGGGACGAGCGTAGCCCGCTGCCGCTCCCGAGGCCCCTCACAGCCACGGGCCGAGTTCGCGTTCCAGCAGGGAGGCGGCGTCCGTGCGGCCCATCAGCCTCAGCACGTTCAACAGGTCCGTGACTGACGTGGGCTCCCTGTGCCTGGCCTCCCACAGGTCCAGTATCTGGTCGGTGGGACTGGGCTTGACCGCGAAATAGTTAATGTACCTGTGTGCAGCACCACGATATTAAATTATTATAAATTATCATTATACATATAGATAGGTTAGAATTATTAATGAGTACAATATTATGTACGACTGACACTGCAGTAGTCGCAGTCGTTGGACTCGCATTGGGACCAGAGCGTCAGTTAGTCACTCCGAGAGGAGTAGACTATATTATAGATGAAAGGTCCTATTAGCGGCGATTACTGCTGTAATAGTTATCCGTATGGGTGATATGATAATAATTTTTAATAATTGAAAGTCCAACTCTAGAGGGCGCATAGAACAGTCGATATTACACATAGTGTAGTATTGAAATATAAGGGTCGAGTTAATTGAACTTGACGACGAGCTGAACTTTTAATTTTTATATACACTACACGAGAGTTCGATTCAAATATAAGAGACGACTGCGATGATGCGCGAGACAAAAATTACGCGCTATATTATAGATTTCAGGTCAACAATAATAATTATTAATCGGTGGTGAGTGGTATCGATGAAAATAGTTAGAAGCCGTTAGCCGACACGTTCGGTATTTTTTTTTTATTTTTTTTTTGTTAATCAAGCGAAAGACATAAATTTAATTTAATGAAAAGTAAGGAACACGTTTAACGTTCCAGAACAATAATATCGATATCGTCTAAATGTATAAAACTTAATGAAATACACCGTATTATATTATTAAAATAATATAATCAAATAATCAATTGTGATAAGTATACGTAAAAAAAAAAAAAAATACACAACGAATAACGGCCAGAGGCTGAATCGCATAATATTATAATTTATTATAGGTAATATTTTAAACGTTGCTCGTCGTCATGAAAATACGTTTAATTTAATTATTATGACAGTCGCTCACCTGTCCATGGAGAGCCGTTGGGCCAACATCCTCCAGTCGTTGCTCCTAGAATTTGGTGGATCTAAACATTGACAGAGTTGCTTACGTAAGACTTTACCAAATCTGAACAAACAACCGAAATATTAATAAATTATTTTTAATTCCTATACACCACATACAACACATATTATACTATACGTACGGGGGAAGAAATAAACGGAAAAACAAAAAAATAAATAATTACTCGAAATCAGAGGCTGTGGGAGGGATGTCATCGCAAATAATATTTTAATAGGTAAATAATAATGTGTCGCCTGTGCCTGTGTAGTGCCGTGTTAACAAATAAGTTTGTACCCTTTACTACCCACCCTTATACAGTTATACCCATTAAAGTAGAAAAAATTTAATTTTTCTCCTCGACTATTTTCCATAATGGTACTATATAGCACCGAACGCCTTTCCAGCCATATTAAAAAAATAAAAACTGGAATAAAATATTAAAAGAAATCTTTTCCATCAAACGAAATTGTCTGATGTTTTTCAGTTAATCGGGCTCGCTACCTAGCTACTTTTGAGAAACGAGGGTCTATACTCTATTAAAATAATTACTTAAAGTAAGTAAGTTCGAATATATTTTTTTTAATAATTTTAAATATCAAATTCAATAACCGTTTAGAGTTATACCTAATACGGCGAAATAAGAAAATGACCGTTGTGTATTATTGCTGTATATATAATTCGTATATAATAGAATTTTGATTTGAAAATATAATTGGTTTAAGCGCTACGGTTTTTCCAAGATAAAGGTACTATAAACAGCTCTGTTTTGAATTATATAGTATACTAATATTGTAATATTGTAATTAGACCTTGCCTATGGACTGTAAATAAATAAATAATATGTTTTTCAATATTTATAATAAGTCGTTCTAAAAATTATTATAAATTATAAAGCTACAAAATGTTATTTTTGTTTTCCTTCAAAAATTAGCAACTCTGGAAAAATGGACCCTTTACCTCCCTTTCCCCTATAATACAGCACTGTGTGTATGTGTTATAGAAACGATCTATGTATACACTTACCGAAATGGCGTTGGATCGCACGACGTGACGCTCGATCCGCTGCCCGTGGTGCTGGTCACAGTCCTCGGCTGTCTGGGTTGGTGGCCGACGGACGACAGGCTGTTCGGGTCCTGGTTCACCTTGAACGTGTGCTTGACGTTTCGCAGCGAACCGGTGGCCGCCGTCTGCGACACACACACCCGACAGGAAACGTTCACCCACGAGTCCGGGTACTGTTGTTCGTATGGTTCCAGCGAGAACACAGCCAGGCCTCCCGAGTTCCACAGGGTCTGGAACGGGATCTCCTGTGTATCGAAAAGGGATGCGCTTGGTTAGGCGGTTAACCGGTACAGATAGCGAATATAAACGAAGGCGTAAAGTCTTGGCCAGAACGATAATATTCAAAACAACAAAATACTTACCCTCCACGCAAGTTCTGGTGGTTTTAAATTTTAAGCGTTCGGGATTTAATATACGCCATGGCTAAGACTCATATTACGACACTACGAGTGTTCAAATACTATTATAATATTATAAACAGTATTCCACTGACCTTGTAGTTATCTTGGGGTTTACTCCTCCAATTGGTGCCAATATCGTCCATGGTAATCACCAGGTTGCCGCCACCCTCTTGAAAGCACATCGACTTGGACTTATCCAGCATCACGCCTCCGCTGACGCTGCGCTCTTGGTGTTTCAGCCTCTGCACATACATCGACATCGTTTGTTAAAATTTATATTCAAGACCTTCCGAAAGAGGTATAAAGACGAAAATACATCGGGTGTCCGTGTACGCACCTCTAAAGCTACGCCGTTGTCGTCGACCACATGAACCCGGATGTCGTATTTGAACTTCCGGTTCAGCGATCCAAACAAGGCCACTTTAAGCGTCTTCGCGGGCGGACTGCTGACCACCGTCACGTCAGGTTCGCCGACCAACACAAACTTTGACAGCGTTTCGCTCATCAAATACACGTGTTCAGCGTCCATTTGCACAAACACCGATGTGTTGATCGTTTCCTCTCCCAATGTCAGAATTTTCTGGTTAACACGATATTAAATACATTTATTAATATAATTGGATTAAAATAATTATCGAATCATCTATCGTCGTGTCGATTGTAAATTATATACGATCGTCTGATATGTCAGGTTAAGCATTACCTTCCATTTGGGTTTAGCGCCTAGAGGCATGTCGCAACTTAGCACCGAAATCACCCAGGGCCCTTGCATCAGACTGGCGCAGTGTCGCATTCCGACGATCACTGGCTTCTTGAAGCTCTTCCCGTTAGGTCCGCACATCACCGCCGGACTTAGCTGCGTTTGTCCATCTAGAAAATTAATTTAGTTTTTAAAAAATCCGACTATCACAAAAATCTATTACTATTGATTGTACTATAATAGTTATTATATATTATGTTATATAATTGTTATAATAGCCTATATGTGTCCACTTGTCACAAAGATTAATAAAATTAATAATAATTTATATAATATATTATACAGAATGCAGTATAATATGACATCCCCTCAATCGAAGACATACCTAATTATAAATTATATATTATGTGAGTATATAGTTACCGGAGAGTATCGGCTTGTACTCGTCCTGTAACAAGGCAAACAGTACGGGTTCTTTTTGAGACTTAGCGACGGCCCCTTCGGGAATGGTCAGCGACAACCCGTACTCTTTGCACTCCAAACGGCAACCAGTCGACGTCACGGCAGTCTCCTTCATCCACAAATAGTCCTTGCAATGGCACGCCACGCCACTAGAGTCCGACTGGGATTTGCCTGTCAATATAATATTAGTGTTATTATTATTATTATTAAAACTATGCAATTTTTATTTCACTTCAAGTCTGCACCACCGGCGACCGTATATAATATATTTGATTCGCTTTACTCACTCGAACAAGTGTAGCTGGTCAAGCTGTGACTGGACTCGGGACTAGACGTGAGCGCATTCGGACTGTCGGGGGCCACGGACGGGACCGGCGGCGCCATGATGGCCGTGGTAACCGTCGAACTGGCACCGCCACCGCCGCCACCATTGTGATGGGGCACGTCATAATGGTGTTCTGAACAAGACCTGGTCAAGCTGTACGCGTTCTGGTCGTTGGTGAACGGGTACTCGTAGCACGACGGCACCACTACCACGGTCCTGGTCAGGTCCGGTTGCGTCTGCTGGAAATGGTTGCAGCCACCGTTCCGCGAATGGCACTCCAGAGAGTAAGTCTTTTTCTCTTGGTCCGGGAAGAATTCCGGTTGGAAATCTGAACGAAAACGATTAAATTGATATAACATTATTATACAAGAATAGGATGTCGGGAGTATGCGAGTTGAAAAGATGAACTTGCGCAAGGGCGCAATTATATTATTATTCTCGTGACCGTTTACGAACGCCTTTTGCTTGCGCGTAATGTTGAGTAGTTTATTATTATATACCACTGCGCATAACACTCGCGATGTCACCGGCGTCGAAATTATACAAACACAATTAAGGAAGCTCTATAATATACAGTCGCGGGAGGGTGCAGTCTTTTAGAGCACTGGTCGCTTGTTAGCGTTCGAATAATGCTGATTGACATTTTAATGAAGTCAACTCGGTCGGTGTTGCAGTTCCAGCGGCAGTATTTACCCGCCACGGGGGGTAAGGTATATGCTCGAGAGTCCCCCAAGTCTTACGGTTATGTTATAATACATCGTTCCGGTTTTCCGGTGATTCCATTATAATAGTCGTCAGCCGATAAAATTAAAAAATAAAAACAATAATAATCGAGACGATATCCGTTTTTGCCTCTTCCCCTCTTCCGCAATAATAATATTCGAGTCGTTAAATGATGTTGACGGATCTGCAATCGTTCGCACGATAGTTTTTTGCGTATTAATTTTTTTTTTCGTAACTGCCAACTGGAAACGAGTATATTACACAGACCGCGGAAGGTAGGAAGGCCGAAGGACGTATATATATTTTATAATCATCAAACGTGAAAAAATTTATTTATATGTCTAAAACGTTATTCGTACGATGAATCGAACGAACGACTTATTATATTATTATATTTCAGCCGAGTTCAAGGACTACGCTGGTACACATTTGTGTACGCACACATATTGTTGTGATTATGTGATAATAATAGTATCATTATATTATTATATGCACCGTATTTTAATAATAAGTATGATATTGTATTCTGATGAGAAACGTACCCGAGTTGGCCATGTTGTACATGCTGTGATCGCGGCCTTTGTTCTTGTACAGCCGGAACAACAGGACCATGCCAGCCAGCAGCACGGAGGCGGCTATGAGTGCCACGTACAGGGCCACATCGGTCTCCACTACCGATTTGGTAGCAGCTAAAACACATACATTAATTATATAGATAGATATTACACTTATTCCGCATTATATTAAAAAAATAAAAATAAATTTCAAAAATTACGAATTAATATAAATATACATCGTCGTTATATGATATTGCTATTTAATATATTATTATTAGGTAGGTATTATATTATTACATCGATTATCGTATATGCATAGATGACAAATGAAACAACATTTCTCGGATTTTGATCTGTGATATTTTATTTGTTTTAATCTGACGAACTAAAAGTATAGGCACCTGGTACTTATATACATAACATTGTATATAATATTATATTTGCAAGTTTTCCGACATTTGATTTACTATGCCATGGGTTTTTTCTTATTGTTCTTAATTTGCTAAAAACAACTTTCAGATGTGCGTGATTTGTATAGTTGGCTTGTGGTTTACAATATATACCTATTGAGAAAAGTGGGAAATAAATGTCCAATCGTTTGGTACGAGGCGGTATCCGTCCGTCGGCTGACAGAAAATATTATAATTTTGAATAACGATCATATTTGTTAAAATTATCGACATTGTGGAAATGTATAGGGTATCGTAATAATATTTTAATGTAGTGATGAACGAAGATATGCGTCTCCAATCGAAACTCGAGATTGATTGCACGCGAGGTATTACACGCGGTGGTTGTAATAGTGTTTTATACTTGTGTACGGACTGCAAAAGGGGTGAGTAGCCGGTGGCATATTATAAGGCGGTGTTGTTGGTGTTGGTGGTAGAAAACAACAATACTTAACGGCTTAGGACTAATTTCTTACTACCGAACCGTCACTGCAGCGTAGCAATATATTATATATAGGTGCCTAATACAATATAATATCCAATAAAATCGATGGACGGCCAATAAAAACATCGTCGTGCCGGGTTTCTCTCGTGTCCCGAGACGGTTTATCAAAAACTTTGTCGGCGACCAGTTTTGCGTTTGCGTGAATTGATTTTATCGGCCCTATAAGGCTATAACTGGCCTCTGACACGAATCGACCACATGTATAGGTATATATATATTATATAGGTATACACACTCCGCCTAACGTTTCCACTGATTTTTATACACATAATAATATATATTGTTTCGCGGGCCTGGGACGTCGTCGTCGTCGTTGTTAATGCAATCGCGGAGCACGCGTGAACGAAAACTAAAATGTTTACTATACACACTTTCAATCGCCCACGCGCGATCGTTAACACGTCTGCACCACCACCTCGATGTGCGATCGCCGAATTTTTCGCCCAACCTCGGTCGGTGATTACAGCGTTTTTTTTCTCACTTATAGTTTCCGACCGAAACACGACGATAATGTGATGTGGAAAAAAAAAATTTAACAGCGTAAATAAATTCGGTGACTATTTTATAGAACACGAGGGCGAGGCGTAGGATACTATACATTATTATTATACGATCCATATTATATTATAATCTTTCGATCGGTATGCAACGGGGCGGACGCGAGGCGCGAGGGAAAACGTTCGACGACTAATTAATGATAAATTATCGTACGGTCACGAGGTATTATGACAGACCGAAATGTCGATAAGAAAATCGAGTTTTTATTCGTAACGTAGGACGCCAGTTTTAAATACGCCTGCTGCTACAATAAAGGGGCATTTAAAATCACATATTTATTATGACATAACAAAAACATAATTTGTATATAGGTACACGCTAAGCGTGTAGCATCTCACTTGAACACGTTTTAATTTATTACTTGTACTGCAATAACTAAAAGAATTAAGAATTATTAATTAATGGTTATTAGAGGCGTATACTTATTTGTTCCATATACATAATTTATAATTTAAATACTATTTATAGCTCTTGCATAAGTCGATGCGGTATGTCGGTGATTAGTTTTAAATACGACAGTCATTAATAATTAAAATTTAATATTTTTTTTCCCCAATAAATTCATGCCCGGACAGCAATATTTTTATTTATCACGTTTGGTGGTTTAAATCCAACATTAGTTAAATTGTGGTTTTAATATAATAAGACATTAAAAAAAAAATTACCACGAGATCATAGAAAGATTAAAATATGTCGTTGTAAGATAGATAGAGTTGTATTTTTTTTTTTATGGAACTTAAGCCCGGCGATTATATGCCCCTTAGCTGTGGTAGAGGATTATGAACTGTGGTACGGTAAGGTGTTGTTACGGTAGGTAAGCAAACACGTGTACGAGTATGTGTGGCAAGGTTTTTACTTCTACGAGAGATGTATCATAAACGAGTTAGTAGCGAAAATAAATTGTAATGCGATTGGATTAATAATGATGGGCTGGAGTTAGAATGATATGGTATTATATGGTACCTAATGATTTTTAAAGTTATATATTATTCTCGATAAAAATGCGGGGTTTTGCCTTACGTATCGTTATTCGTTCCATTTATTTTCGTGTTCAAATTGTAGTAAATAATATCATAAATATATTCACATAAAACGTAGGTATAAAAAAATATTTTCCTCTAGACTTTTACTTATATTTTAGGCAGGACGTGACACTCCGTAGCCGATTACGTCGATAAGCCCTTCAGGATTAAAAATGCACGGATATAAACGGATGTTTTTGCTGATGACATTAATAAATTCATTGAAACACCAGTAAGGTAGATATGTTTTTGGCATTTTATTAATCCCCGTACACACGTGTTTGTGTAAAAACAAGTTTATGTTGGGCTGTTTTAAAATGTTGTTACGCGCCGGCCATAAAATTATAAACGTTCTTTTCTCTGTCCAGCAAACTTATATATTACACGTGAAGGCAAATTGCAGGGTTACATTATAAATAAAAAAAACTTTTACGCGTTAAACTATATAATACATAGCTCCACGCGACATCGCACACAACAATAGTTAGTCTGCAAGACCAATTAAGTTTGGGCTAGGTAGGTATTACGCAGTTGGCTATCAACAAACGCAGGATTAGTCTATGGGGCATCGAGACCTGCAGCGGCGGCAAACTCCGAGCGGTTTTAATATGCCGGCCGAGGTTTAATCGATTTTTTCATTTAAGCCAGTGTTTTATTTCCAGCGAAATCGTAAGCCACATATTATATGGTATTGAAACGTGCGCGGGCCAGAGTGTGTGCGGGTGCAGTATCATACCACGCGGATAAGGTCGCAAAAACTTCGCCAACGTCCAGCGGCGTTATATAGTACAAGTTCGAATATAAACTGAAATATTTGACCCATCGCATTGCACGACTCTCAGGAATCCACTGTAGAATGTTTGCAATCGAATCCGAGTGTGCTGCAGACGGTTTAAAGTTTAATTAAGACTCGCGTCATATGTGTGTGGGGGCAAAAAGAAGTCGAACTTTTTGGCGAGATAAAAGCTCCAACTGTCAGAAGTCAAAGAGCACCACCGGCGTTCAATTATATATATCAGTCGGCCAATCAACCGGAGAAAATCCGATGTTAAAAGGAATGATATCGTCGAACGGCGGCAGGAGGGTCGGTCCACCGGTGGTGGTGGTATCCTTTTCACGGATTGTCTTGTGTACATGAAAGACCCAATATATAGATCCCGGAGTAATTCGTCTGCGATTCAACGGAACTATTTCATTATAAGTATTAAGAAACGGCCGACGACCGTAGATTCCCCATCGTTCCGTGTCAGTTTGAATGAAAGTCTTTTGTTTCGACGCGTCTTTGATCGGGAACCGATGTAATCGAAAATGCGGTCCAATAATCATATTATATATGTATATACGTAGTAGGTGTTACATAATAATATGACATACAACAAACTTACCACCGCGCCGTCCAGATGCTTTTATGATTCAAATATATCATAATATAATGATATATGTATATTGTATTCGATATACATAATGGCACAGTATTAAATGATTGCAAATATTAAGGGTACAGATTATATGTATTTAAAAATGTTTAATATTGGTGTGTGTGTGTGTGGGGGGGGGGGGGTTATACCACGAAGTTGTTTTAATTGGACTTCAATCAAAATTAAAATGGGTTTTCGAGTGATTATAGAATTGTATATTATGCGTATCGTATAATATAAATAGAACATCATTTAAGAATGTATTAATTTTAAATGACATTTTAATTAATAATGTATTCGATTTTAATAAAATGTTATTTTTTTAGTTACTTTATTGTTTTATTCTAATTTAATTAGAAGTTATGTTTTCTTCATTAACTACCGCTGTGTTCGGAATTATTTTTGTTTCTTATGAAACTCCCTAAGCGATCACAATATTAGACAAAAGGGATTGTATAGTATTGTTAATAAATACCGCCATCCAATAAATAGTTCATTCTCCAAAATCATTTAAGTACGATTTATAGACGCCTGAGCAACTGATGATTTATACTAAAAGTTTAATACTGATGCAATAATACCAACGTTCATTTTGTGGGTAGTTATGTCAAGTACATATTTTATTTGAAAATTTTCAATCGACATAGTATTTGTAAATAAATTACCAATAGCAATAAATCATATTATTTTATAATCGATATTTTCATTGACTAATTTCTAAACATGACATTAAAAAAAAAAAAAAAAATTGAACACTAAATTAACAAGATCTCAGTATATAAGGACAAGTATCCAGTTTAAACGGACCGCATGACTAATGTTTTCATTGGATATATCGTTGTCGTCAACGTTATAGTGATTTACACTCCACCCCAAGACGATAAACCGGGGCACAGCAATTATTTTAGTTACGATTCTTTCCCCTGCGCGAATAAACTTGTTCCTTCCGGTGTCGCTTCATCATCCCTCGCGTATATATATATATAGACTTCTTTTGTTCGGAACAAGCCAAGGGGTTGGAAGTTACATGTCAGGGTCGTTAGGATGACAATTTGTCCGTACGTCACATCACCGGAAACCATGTCGTCCGCCCCGAGTATAGCGAGATCCTAAATATTCGTACGAATTTCAACAGCCCTTCCGTCTCCCCACAAGTAACGTTACCACCACCACCCAGCATTGCATAGGCATTCCGACGCATCCGTCGTCATACCCTAAAGATGATTTAATACTTCGTATTTTATAGTATATAATATGACACATTCGCGAGTGATATAGGGGTCCTGTCCATTCTAAACTGTTAAACAGAGGATCGCACATGAAGAGGGCCGTTGCTGTACACCCCCATCAATAAAGCCTTGGGGTTCTTCGAACAATATCTGGAGCTTTTACTCACACGCGAGAAAAAAAAACAAAAACGACCTATATGCCTACAAATCCGTCGAAAAACTCGAAAACGAAAAGCGAATATAATAATATACGCGTGGAAATGGATTTCCTGTCACCGAGGTTTTATCTTGCAGTAATTTCCGGAAGGTCGTGAAAGAACAACCATTTGCGTCATCCTGTAGAGCTCGACGACTAATCGTATAGTTTTACCCACGAACAATACCCAACAACCGTTTGTTATTGGAATTACATCATAATATATAGCGGTGCGTTCTCTTTTTGAGTTGCGCATTAACGCTCCAGGAAGTTCTGTCGGGTTTTTCATTAATTCACAACTTCATAGTCACGAAAATTCGTCTCTTTTAAAAACTCAATTAGGTACCCAATACTTAAATCGAGTTTCAGAGCACGCTAAGTGTTTTAAGTCTATATTTAAATAACGAAGTCATCAAAAGAAGCGTGAAAAAAAGAGAAAAATCGAGAATCGTGTTTATACGTATATTAGGTAAATATTTTTTTTCGTAACGGATGGCCAATGTTTTTGAACGAAATTAAAATGGTCATATCGTTTTGCTATTTCCTCCCCCTTTTTTTTACGTAGGGTGATTTTAATTTCCTGTTGATATAATTGAATTTCTCCGTATATCCTGCACAGCAGTACCCGAGAGATTCAATCTTCATTTACCCTCTCCCTCTCAACCTAATCATAAAAGCTGCCAAACTTTCTGGCGACAACTAATATATAGACTAGAAAGTAGAAAGTATGTAATATTAAAGCTTACTGCATAAGGCAACAACGCGATTTAACACGTATCTTACGGTCCATATCAAACTCTTTGCAGGGTTCGTTTCACAACGATATAAGTATATTACTAAAATAAAATGAGTTCATATTATTAATAGTATTTATAACTAGGCGGGATTATGTTTATAAATGAAATAACATTTTTTTTTTTTTAAACATTATAATACAAGATAAACTCGTCAATTTAAATTTAGTAGTAACTATATAATACCTACCTAAAAATATGTTATTGTAAAATTTATGTTAAATGTATTTTTTGTGGTTAGAATAATACTAAATAATGGGTAAGTTACATAGCCACAAGGAAACAAAATAAATCTGTCAGGTATAGGTGTAGGACCGTATACGACTGTTGCAGACGCAAAGGTAAGTGATTAAATGAGATAATATTATTAAATATGACATACCAATAAACCCGCGCACGTTAACCAACTTATAAAAACTATACTGTTCTTTATTTACGCAAACGACATAATATCTTTTCAATATTATATTTAAAACATTTACCTATAGTATGTTTATTTTTTAATATCATGGTATACTTTCTACGAAATGTTCTCATAACGGCATATAAACACGCTAAAAATGTTCTAAATGCTTAACATGAACTTTAACGTCAATTTGTGCGGAATGCGGCAAGATATATCTTGAATAAAAAAAAACCGTTATTTTTTATAAGCAAGCCTCTCGAAATTTATGTCTTGTATATTGTGGTAGTTCGTTCGTTCTATTAGCCCTAAAGGCCATAACAATCAATACACATTTTCGCCATAACATCACGAATACAGCCGGACTATAAAAACTATAATATAATATATAAGTATCGTGTAACGAAAAACACGTACCTTCCTCGGTGAATTGCTCATCATCATAATTCACAGGGTCATCTCTGCCACCTGAAACAAGTATAATAAAAATAATAAATGTTATATTTTATTCAGTGTAACGGATAATATTTTTACGTCGTAAAATTCGCATTTTTATTAGTATGTACCTAGCAGTAATATTATGTTTAATAGTGCCAGTGCGCGACTCCCATTCGTAAAATATAAACAAATATTATACATTATATTATAATTTATATCTATACGGCAAAAGAGAATAATAATGTTAAGTTGGCGTAGGTAAATGTATGCAAATGAAATACATTTATTTACATACCAGGAGACGTATAGTAAAATAGTGAGTAAATATTTTATCATAACGGAATATTATAAAAGTTTGTTAATGTATTTATCGAATGCAATTTACACGTAAAAATATGCGATTGAAATTAGATAGCAAAAAACCCATGTAAAAATTGTAAGAAAAAAAACAAATTTTAAGTCAAATATATATAGTTATCAATTTATCATTACCGATACAAGATCCTCCTGAACAGTTTCCGGTCAAAGCGTCCCGACCCACGCAGTATCGCCCGCCATTCGAGGGGCTCGGCGACGTGCAAGACCTGGTTCGATGATGACGGCAATCAGGACCACAGGGTGACCACGATGACCACGCCGACCAATGACCGTCAATTGCTGAAAAAACCAAAGCGAATAAAACATAATATTATTATTAGGTATGTATATCGTATATTATGTGTCTAAGTTCGTTTTTCACGGTGCTAAGCATACAGGGTGATTCACCAAACATGCTCACTCCCATTTTTCTATAATAATGAATTTATTAAAATTCTGATTTTAGGAATTTTCAAATATATTTTAAGACCATATTTCCAAATTCTTGAAATTGTTTTTACTATGAGAACCACCCTTTTTACATCAATTTATTTAATGGAAAATGTTGATGAAAGTATACTTGGTTTAAAATCCAAACTAGTAATTTCTCAGTTATTTAAATGTATATACTAATGATGATAGTCCTTCATGAAAGTAGTTTTAAAATAATATAAAATACATTTAATAATTATTATACTTTTACATTTTTGAAAATTATAAATGTCCATGGATTAATAATATAAGTTTAGGTACTAAAATTTTCAAACCCCGTATCTTTCAAATTTATTCCATGGACCTGACTACCTGATCCTGCTAGTACACAAAGTAAAATAACTCAAAAACGACTAGTATGAAATTTTATTTTGACAATCCCCAACATTTTCAGAATAATTATCCTCTAATTTACAGTAAATTATCTCCACAGCAGTAAACGCTCCTTGAGTGGTACAAAAAATCTCAAGAATTTGAAAATATGGTCTTTAAATAGGTATATTTAAGAATTCGAAACATCAGATTATTTTGAATAACTGCATTATCCAGAAAAAAAGAGGTGAGTATATGCTTGGTGAATTACCCTGTATAATACATAATATCATACGTTGTCGGTCGCTGCGCGTTAAATAGCGTATCGGGCGCACTCAAAGGTCAGAATGGGCACACACACGAAAATAAAAAGAAAGAATCGTTTTAGCAGCAAAGACTTTACCTACTACGGCTGCAGCGAGATAAGATATACTGTCCGGTTAGGGGACTTGAAAGCTGCAGCAGTATAGTCGTAACATATATTTATTTCAGCCATAAAAACGTGAAAGCCCGATCCGAGTGGTGCGCGCGTCTGCAGATTCGGCGAGTTTAGTTTTCCGGCCGATTTAACTCGGCCAACGCGTATATTATGGTGTTTATATAAAAGACTTCTAAACACACATTTCCGATGCCCATAAACACATAATTTACATTGCCGTTACGTGCAAGTGTGTGTGTGTGTCTGATATAGGTGAAGCGGGAAAAAACCTCGAGAAAAATAAAAACGAAGACATTTGTCATTTGTATTTTTTATACAATATACGTATACGTGTGTCGCACGTAATATATACGACGAAAAAGTTTGGCGTGGATTAAACCGCGACGACGATAACGATCATCGGCTTACGCCGCGGGAGTAAAGAAGTTCGGAGCGAATGGACTTTGGGCCACGCCGCTCGCACAATATAATATAAAGTAGCGGGAAACCGACAAAATATTTAAATATTCGTACAAACGACCGGCCGCGAATGATCGATGGTTTTCGAGTTTGTTTGTCGGGCTGAAAACCGCGACGGTCGTATCTATATATAGTTGTCGGAGATTCTCGCGCAGTACCTGACCCGATATTATAATAATTCAACTCTCGGTCAACTTCTGGCCGGGTCCCTCCTCGTCCTATACATATAAATACGGCGGAGGAGTGTTCGCCGAGCCATTAGCACTCGAACGGGGGTCAGAGCAGAAAAGGCCCTCGGCGGAGCCGATCTCACCCCTGTGCGCGTTCAAAAACAGCTATTCTCAAGAGGGTTCGGTGGTAAATGCGTTTTAAACAGGCGCCTTCTTCGGCGCGTAAACGGCACTAAAACGCGGCGGGCTACATTATATTATACCTATATATATAATTCTATACAAGTGCGCACGCGCGTACGGTTGAGCTCAAATATAATAATATTATACAGTCGTTTATCAATAAGCACCGATAAGTCGCGCCGGTTGTGATTCCATATATATTAATAACTTTGACAATGCGAAAATCCATCGTCACTGTGACGCTGCAGTGTGAGCTCGACTAGTAGGGGAGGGGCTGGGGCTTAGCCCTCCCAAATTACTCGAAGCACAAAGGTCGTATAGGTTAAAGTTAAAAGCATATTATATAATATTATGTATCTATATTTATTTATGCCTTTTTAAAAACTGGATTAATGATAATACAACTGACTTGAAATTTGTCAAGGAAAACTTGTGACATGTCTTGAATACTTTCATTTGTAATAATAAAGAAAAATGGAACTTGAGCAAAAATAATTATTTTGTTATTTATATTTTTATAATAAAAATAGACAATGAATAGGGATGGCAAAGCTCTACTGGGTTAATTTTTAGGAAAATGTATACAGGGGCTTCAGCCCCCACCCCTCCGAGATTTTGGGCTAGGTTCGCCACTGCAGCTTTAATAACATACATACGAGAGTGTACACAGTTTGTCGGCAGCGGTTCCGCTGCGAATTAGAGTGTTTTGATTTCACCAGCGTTTTATACTAATGTGCCTCCGGAACACAATACACAGTGTACACCAGCGACCATCTACTCTTTCGGAATTAATAATCAACCACCCGATGTCCGTCGTTGTCGCGGTATACTTGCAGAAAACACAATAGACCGCGACAACTTACAAGAACCGTTTGTTATATTGTATAAAGTATATATGTACCATTATTATTATTATACACTCCTGCTCCTCATATATGTATAGTTGTAGCTCGTGACCGACAGTCACACACTTGAGAATAAAGTCTCCTGCTCAGTCCTCTGCCAACTGTCACGTGGCCCGCAGGCACATTGTTCGCGGTGCATTTAACACACAGTGAGCGAGCCGGAATTGACACCGCCAACACCCCTTTCACCGTGCCGACCGAGGCATACATGCATATATATACTTGTGTACAATACTGCCGGTATACAAGCAACCGCAATAATGCGACCCGTCTACTTCCTACCACCCCGCGCTCGACCCTAACCAGTTTTGAATTAGTGCTCGGCTATTGTTTCAATTCAAATTCGACTATACGTATACATGAGTGCGAGTGTGTGTGTGTGTGCCTCGAAAACCCTCGGGGTCATTTGTCTTGTGCGCCCTGTCTCTCCTCCGCCGCAACAGCACCATCATCATCCCAGGGGCCTGGCGAGTGTAGCAATATATAATGGCTGCGCGACGACCGCGTCCCCGGGGAACACCTATACATTATTATATCGTATCTATGAGCAAATTGTTTTTAAATGACCGCCCATTGTGAAGGGGGAAAATCATTTATGTACAAAAAAATAATAATAAATAATTATAACGATATAATATGATAGATAATATATTAATAATTTCGTGTCGTACCACCACCAATCGACTGTCACCACCACCACCCACCTAACACTGCGATATAGAACTTCATCGATTAAAACGAAACGTCCCCTATATCTAAACAAACCCTTTATCTATAGTCGTGTTGTATATGCAATATTTAGCATTATATTATACACACATTGTTTGAAAAAGTATAGATAAAATAACTAGGCATATATACCTAAAATAAACAGTATTGTAAAAAAAAACTTCACTTTAAATTAAAAAAGTCGTGAAAACATCTTTGAATATAAAAGCGGCTTGGTGTTACAAGAATACAATTTGGTTATTATTTTTTATACATATTATTTTATTGTTTCGGTTTAGGATAGGACATCAGCGATTGACACAATAGAAGTATTTAGAAAATTGTATAAAAACACGTTAAAAAGATAGGTATAGCCGTACAGGTATTAGTATTTTAAAACCATAATTTAAAACGTGTTGAGATGAAATAAACAACGTTTTGGAAATTTGTTATCCCGTAGAAGGGGTTGGGGGGGGGGAGGGTCGAATCAATATAATTCCATTAGCGAACATATTCGACGGATATAGATGATTTTCGGCGTTTTATTTTTTTGGCCCAGAGCCATCCCGTATTAGGTATAGTCATCATCGTCGTAGTAGTAATAGTAATAGTAGTAGTAGTAGTAGTAGTAGCCCTATGGTAGTAGTACCCAGTCGGTTTGCCAAAATCGACACCATACAACTTCCGATCAATCTTCCGTAACCTCCACCGTACGACCTCTGCAGAAACTCAGCTACACATTACACAGCAGTCCATCCCATTCGGTGTACGCTCGGGAAAAGCAGCGACCGGCAGCAATTATTGCCGCACATCCGCGACGGTTAATTTATGCCCCGGAGCACAATGAATATTCACACAAACACAATGGTTGAGACATCCGTGCCGGAGAGAGATGGATATATATTGATAGAGATCGAGGAAGAGAGGGTTTTATGTCTATGTGTGTGTGTGTGTGTGTGTGTGCGGAGTGTGAGAGAGACAGAGAGTCGCGTGTGCAGGGAATTCGCTGCAGTACTAATGGCAGTGGACGATGGTCAACGCGCGAGTACGTATATATAAAATACACTCCTCCACCGACTCTTGCCAGTCCCCCAAAATTTAATTGGCCGGTTGACGATAAAAATCTTTCGATGCCCATAAATCGTCGGGGGGTCACCCTCGAAGTCTACACTAAATACTGCACTCTGTATACTATAATACGGCTATAGCTGCTGCGCCACACATATCTCGTCGAAACCACCACTGTCGCCGAATGATTTATTCCGACGTTTCGAATAACGCGCGTGTATGTATGTAAATATTGTAAAATGTACCTACTGCGTTTCTTGTCTGTTTTTTTTTTTGTTTTTATTATTATTCGCCTGTCGTTACGCCTATAATACAGCCCGCGCGTAACTCTCCCGCCCAGTGCCCAAAAGGGGGTAAACGCCCGAATAAAATTTCGACTGCGATTATCGTCGTGCAAAGTTGAGCGCTAAAAACTTTATAATGAATTATGCAAAAACGACTACCGGGTGTATATACGTTTCACCGCCCAGTTTTTAATCCTCCGAGTTTTTCGTCCACGTCGTCTATATATACAGAGTAACACCTGGTACACATTTCCTGCGCAGCTATATACGCTCTTGATCGAATTAAGAGTTTTATTTCGTACGCCGTCGCCATCTTATAATATTTGATGCGCAAAAATACGATTTTTAGTCGGCAAACAATCGCGAAAAAAAACCCATTAATAAAACGATTTTAACTTTTCAAAAAAATATAAAAAAACGTTTTCGAGTGGCTGTGTGCGTTACATTCGCTTTGCGACTTGCATCCGTTAATTTTGTTTTTACGTTTTTAATGCGTCCGAGAATCTTCTGGCGTGGAAATTTGTAGGGAAACACGTATTATATATATAGCCTTCCTATCGATAACGTCAAATCGAGTTTATTCTTCCGCAATGAGATTTTAATAACTCGGCATATTGATAATTTATATACTATATACCGATCGTGAACATAATCTAGCAGGTATATAATATAGTACCTACCTATAGTTAATCATATTAAAATGAAGACGGTCGAAAAAAAAAATAAATAAACGAAACGGTTCAGCATCGATTTACGGGTTCAATTATTTATTTCTATTTAGATAAAAAAAAAAAAATAATAATAAAATAACGGGAGACGCCTATTCAATTTAGACCTGATCGATTACCCGTTCGGTACGAAGCTCTGCAGGTAGGTGTATATATATATATATTTATATATGTATAGAGGTACGCCGTCTTGCGTAATTATATAATATATACGACTATAATATTTTATAACGGCTACACGAAAGGCGCCGTGTGTTTTACAAACGAAAAATATAACCAAAACGAATTTTGGTAGTTGTAGACAACAACAGCTTAAAGGTTAAAATATGACACTTGTGAAATTAAATTGTAGTATTTACCTTCTTCGGCCACGGTGTCACTGTATTCGCCATCTGAAATCAAACAAACAACGAGAAATTAGATTTGTATATTTAGACTTACATTTCGAATTGATTAACATGCACACACACACAAGCGGATCTCGTGCGTGTTGTAATTCCTAAATTCACCAACGATAATCCCACGGGGACGACTTAATGTGAAGTCTTCCGTTTCGACGACACACAAGATGATAATTTGTCGGCTCGCGGGACAGCACCGCGAGGGGTGCAAACATATATAATGCTCGCAGCCGAATACGATCGCGCACACGACCGCCTCGTTTATCGCTTCGGTACACTTGATGTTATCAATTATGCCTCACCGAGAGTCCTTTCTCCATCGCTCAAACTGTTGGCGTAGGACACCAGGACGCGGGAGCTGCAGGATATACCTTGTCTGACGCACGATTTACTTTAACTTCGCGTGTATTGTAATCAATATATACCTGAACCGCCACCACCCTTCGACGACGTCAAACGTTGCACGTTAATATTATGATGATATTGTCGTATATAATATTACCTTTGTCGCTAATTTTAATGCGAGAAATGAATCACCTCCTCATAATATCCACCTCGTCCCGACCTACGCTGTGAAACTTTCACGAAGCTCGATAAGTTTAATAATAATAATTATACTGAGTAAATTTTAAAAGTAAAATTTAAATTCTAAGAAATACTATTTTATACACTTTCATTAATGAAAGTATTCCCCCGTAATAATTGTACCTATATTATAATATTATACTGCGTCTTTATACATTACACGTATTTTCAACCTTATTACGAATTTAGTTTAGGTAGGTGTATATAGTACTAATAGGTTATCATTTATTGTAAACTTCTCCAATCTGTACCTAAGGACAAAACTGCAAAATGTATACTGTAAATAATGAAAAAACATTAAAACGCAAAACGTTATTTTCCACAGATCCGTCGACTTTACGCAACGATCATTGGCGTAATATAATCGGAAGTGTTTACAAATTGTACCATATTCACCACCCACACTCAAACCACAGCTGTTTCCCCTGCAGCAGACGAGAATATATAATCCGATTTCAGGCGGCGTATTAATTCGCACACGTTGATAAAGCAGGTTAATATAGCGATAATGATGATTATAATAATAATAATAATAATATATTATAATACGCATAGTCCGAGCCGCAAAACGACCGCACCGGTCTAAAAGCCCACGAAATATTTTTAACCCTCGTCAACGCATTCATTAACGTCTCTACTGGTTTTGTTGCAGCGCGCCGCCATATTATATACTCGAGGGTATTTTGTATATAAATATAATAATAATATAACCTCATCAAATAGTTAATCCGGATCGCCGGGTGTAATTACACAGATAGGATTACCCGTGTGCTGATTGGAATATCATAAACACCGCAGCCACCCCGTCCCGCGTCATTGTGTGTATAACGTAAGCGCATATATTATAATATTATTATTATACATAATATTAATATAATCAGAGCCGTGTTAAAGGGGGGGGGGGCAAAAGGGGGCAATTGCCCCCGGGCGCCATAGTTTTGTAAAAGTAAGGGGCGTCGTTATTTGAGCTTAATATGCTACTTGGAGCCCAAATTGTAGGGAAAGGGCTCGAATTGACCCGGGGCGCTGAATTGCTTGACACGGCTCTGAATATAATATAATAGCGTAGGCATAACGTCTATATAATGTTTTAGAGATAATAGCGGAATCGGCAAAGATGATGTACCTAGGTATATACGCTTACCGTTTTACATTAACGTCGTATACGATGAGTTTTGTACCTAATAATAATATTATGTTGTCCCAAAGTTCGTCGTATAATTACGTGTTATTGAAAATCTGATTTTATGCGCAAATACTTAATATTATGACGAGGATCTACTGGGCGAGGCGTTAAAATTACTATACGAGGGTTGTTAGGCTTTAAGGACGAATATAATATTATGCCGTTTCCATATGCAAGTATAATAATATGTAAAAGTCGATACGAGCCGTATATTATATATAGTACTCGAACCTCAAACTTTTTGACACGGTGAACCGACTGCAGATCGAGAATCCAGCAGTTTCGCATTCGTCATGTAATATAATTTATAGCAGGTAGGCATTAACAAACTTTTAAAAAGTCGCGTCTTCCCGATCGTATTGTCAGTCATAGAACTGCAGCCAGCTTAGTATTATAATAGTAGCAGTGGACGCGAAACACAAAAGTTTTTAATAACGTTACTGCAGCAGGCTTATACATTATATAGTATTATACATATATACACTACACAGTAAAGATCTATTATCTTGTATATTATAAAACATTGTACAAACCCTCTAATTAAGCCTAAAACTATAACAGTTGCGTGCGGTTCTACCTATATATATAATGTCTATCGAGACTATAAGGTAACTTTTAAATTACTTTATTAACATTTGTTTTTAAATTGTTTTAATTATACTTATACACGTTTAACGCGGACACTTGAGAAATATCGCCGCGAGTGGGTTTATAGTGCGTCGTTAAAATATCGAAAGCAATAACGACACTTATTAATGTAACAATAATAAAAATAATATCATGACATAACATAACATTTCCTTAAAAAACCACCATATTCGAGAATGAGTATTATTTTAATTTTTTGATTGGTGACCCGCTTTTTAAACAAAACTTGATCTCATAATATATATTGTTATCAATTATTGATATTTTTTTTATGTATATAATATCTAAGAACTTATAGTATTTTTAGGTCACATTAATTATATTATTATTGTAATATATTGATTACCGCTTGATAAATGATAATTAATCGTAAACATTCGAAACCCACAGTCCAAATTTAATTAAATAAACTGAACACATAAACAAAGTTGTTTTCATAGTCCAATTTACTTTGGCACATAATATTAATTCATCATAAAAGTAATTTTAATTATACATAGGTACCTATATATTATAATAGCTTATATTTAATATTTTGTTTTTCTATTACTATTTGTAGATACTTACTACAGTACTAGAGTGACAATGTATGTGGATTATATATTGAAGTAGTTATGCGATGACAACGCATCGGTAAAATAAATTAATTTGAGTTAGATTTGAAAAGTGGTTAAACACGAACAAATTAAAAATTAATCGACTTGGATTTATACTTTGTGAAATTACTGTTAGTAAAATACTAAAATATACTCGACAATCATACGAACTGCAGTTCTTTAAAACTATTGTTTGTTGATTTTGAATTTGAAATATGAATATTATAATTTTATTTAAAAAATGTATGAACTACAACTTCACAACGGGGCCAGTGACCCTGGGCCGCGTGTGAAATTGCATTTTGAGAGGGATCGCATATTCCCGAGCGTTTAATATTTACGACCAGTGACACGTGTACACATATACGCAGAGGGTGCACGCACAACGGGTTGACTTTGATGTGTAAGTGACATTTTTGTAAAATATAACGAACCGTAATGGCGTAGTATCATCTTAATATTCTTAAAAATATAATAACAGACGTTCGGTTGGGTTTGTATTAAATATACGAAATAATCGGTTTTATAAAATGATTCAATTTCGTTTGGGGACGACTGAAGTGTATGATACCATTTCCCGCCTCGGAAAAAGTTATGATATTTAATCAGAAATACACGTAAAGGATTTTTTTTTTTATCCCCGAAACCCAAAGTCTGAATGAGCATGCGGCCCTCGATGACAAAGAGGCGCGTTCCTTTATACACACGACGCGGTGACATTAAATTTAATTACGCAAGCCGTGGCAAGTGAGTGCGTGAGGGCGTGGAAATACCTGCAACCAAAAGATATTATATGTACGAGACTAGGATTTATGACCGCCGCAAACGTGCACACTGCACATATACCCGATATAACGTATACGCGGTTCACGGTCGTTGTGAATTTTTTCCTCCGAGAAATGTGTTCATATTATAATAATAATAATAGTAATATGCAGAATTCGAATATATTATGATACGCGTCCTTCGTAATATTGCACACAATAGATCCGGGTACCCTGCCGTGGTGCAGTTAATCGAAAACAGACATTAATTTTTGCGCGACCTTTTACGCGTTGAACGATGGCGTATTTATACACGACGCGTCCGAAGCACTGGCGATTTATTTCGCTCGGAAAAGCGTCTACAAAAACAAAACCTTTTTTTTACCTTTTAAACGGTCTTGCGGTTCGGAACGGATTTCCACGAATGAATTCTGTGCAGATACCCACATAATATACTATCTGCGTCGCGCAGGGTAAAAAAACTACTAATGCACACACATTGCGAATTGAATTTTGAGATTTCTTTCGCTGTGAATACTGCAGCAAACCACCGGGCTTAAGTTTTTTTGATGTTTGAATTCGGGTCATGAATAATGGAGATCTCGATCGTTTATAAACTCGCGAGTGCGATTTTCTTCGTAAGTAATAGATTAGACGGCAATTTATAATGAAACTTGTTCAAGTCTCGTAAAACATCGACGAGCCCGGACACTTTGATTAGGAACCGTTTAATGACGTCTATACTGAGCAGAGAACGTTTAGAAACAATCAAACAAACACACTTGTATACATCAATAGAAAAACCTGCAGATGATTCGGCCGTTTCACTATTGGGTCGTAAGTATGGAATTGATTATAAATAATATTAAATACTTAAAAGTAATAACTAATAATGAATATAATACGTCTTATAAATCTGTGTTACTGTCGTTTAGATTGAAATCATTTCCTGCATGTATACCTATTTCGTCATAAGAAGTTGTTATGAATAATAATATAAATAATAATAATAATAATAATAATAAACTAGGAATAAAGTCGGCATCGGGCTGGAATGAAATTGCTATACGATCGATTCCATTATATATTTGGGCGTATTCAACCTGCAACATACTTGTTATTTTGCGGCAGCCCACCCGCGGTTCCTCCGACCCGTTAATTACTATTATAGTCAAAGATGCACTCGGAATAACACGCAAACTTCTCGTCTTG